ACAGACCACTTCTCAGTTCCTATGCTTTCTGGCTGATGGTTTGGTCACTTTTGAATGCTGGCGGTGCTTTCACTCTAGTGGTAGCATGAGACGGAGTCTACAACCCACACAAGTGGCTCAGGTAGTGCAGCTCATCCAGGATGGCACATCAATGCGAGCTGTGGCAAGCTGTGTCTGTCAGCGTAGTGTCCAGAGCATGGAGGCGCTACCAGGAGACAGGCCAGTACATCAGGAGACGTGGAGGAGGCCGTAGGAGGGCAACAACCCAGCATCAGGACCGCTACCTCCGCCTTTGTGCAAGGAGGGACAAGAGGAGCATTGCCAGAGCCCTGCAAAATGACCTCCAGCGGGCCACAAATGTGCATGTGGCTGCTCAAACGGTCAGAAACAGACTCCATGAGGGTGGTATGAGGGCCCGACGTCTACAACTAGTGGTTGTGCTTACAGTCTAACACCATGCAGGACGTTTGGCATTTGCCAGAGAACACCAAGATTAACAAATTTGCCACTGGCACCCTGTGCTCTTCAAAGATTAAAGCAGGTTCACACTGAGCACATGTGACAGACGTGACAGGGTCTAGAGATGCCGTGGAGAATGTTCTGCTGCCTGCAACATCCTCCAGCATGACCGGTTTGGCAGTGGGTCAGTAATGGTGTGGAGTGGCATTTCTTTAGGGGGCCGCACAGCCCTCCATGTGCTCGCCAGAGGTAGCCTGACTGCCATTAGGTACCGAGATGAGATCCTCAGACCCCTTGGGAGACCATATGCTGGTGCGGTTGGCCCTGGGTTCTTCCTAATGCACGACAATGCTAGACTTCATGTGGCTGGAGTGTGTCAGCAGTTCCTGCAAGATGATGGCATTGATGCTATGGACTGGCCCGCCCGTTCCCCAGACCTGAATCCAATTGAGCACATCTGGGACATCATGTCTCACTCCATCCACCAACACCACATTGCATCACAGACTGTCCAGGAGTTGGAGGATGCCCCTCAGGAGACCATCCGCCACCTCATCAGGAGCATGCCCAGGCATTGTAGGGAGGTCATACAGGCACGTGGAGGCCACACACACTACTGAGCCTCATTTTGACTTGTTTTAAGGACATTGCATCCAAGTTGGATCCGCCTGTAGTGTTTTTTTCCACTTTAATTTTGAGTGTAACTCCAAATCCAGACCTCCATGGGTTGCTAAATTTGATTTCCATTGATAATTTTTGTGTGATTTTACATAGTGTAAACTATGTGATGAACAAAGTATTTAATAATATTTCATTCATTCAGATCTAGGATGTCTTATTTTTGTGTTCCCTTTATTTTTTTGAGCAGTGTATTTTCTCCCATTCACTTGGTAGCCCTACTTCATGCTCTATATTTTATATAAAATTTGTGAGGAACAAATAAAAGAACTATCTGTTTTATGAAAATAAAGGAGAAACGCATTACCAGGTACAGTAGTTCCAAAATCTTATTGGAATTCATTTGCATTTCAGAAAATAATTCCTTTTTGTGGAACATTCTGAATATATAGAATAGAATAACAGAGTTGGAAGGGACCCAGGAGGTCTTCTAGTCCTGCTTAGGCAGGAAACCCTACGCCACTTCAGACAAATGGCTATCCAATCTCTTCTTAAAAACTTCGTGTTGGAGCATTCACAACTTCTGGAGGCAAGTTGTTCCACTGATTAATTGTTCTAACTGTCAGAAAATTTCTTCTTAGTTTTAGGTTGCTTCTCTCCTTGATTAGTTTCCATCCATTGCTTCTTGTCCTGTCGTCAGGTGCTTTGGAGAATAGGTTGAGTCCCCTCTTCTTTGTAGCAACCCTTGAGATATTGGAACACTGCTACCATGTCACCGTCCTTCTTTTCATTAAACTAGAAATACCCAATACCAGCAACTGTTCTTTATATGTTTTAGCCCCCTAATCATCTTTGTTGTTCTTCTCTGCACTTTTTCTAGAGTCTCAATATCTTTTTTACATTGTGGCAAACAAAACTGGATGCAGTATTCCAAGTGTGGTCTTATCGAGGCATTATAAAGTGGTATTAACACGTCACATCAGGGGTGGGATTCAAATTTTTTAACAACAGGTTCTGTGGGCATGGCTTAGTTGGTGGGCATGGCTTAGTGGTCATGTGACTGGCTAGGTGTAGTCAAATCAACATCACTCATATCGAGGCACGCATCTCCTCACCTGGCTTCTCATGACTGTGGGGATGCTGCAACAGTCGTAAGTGTGAAAAACAGTCATAAGCCACTTTTTTCAGTGACATTGTAACTTTGAATGGTCACTCCACACAAGCAAAGTACCAGCAAAGGAGCGGGAAAAGAACTCCACAATCGTTCCTGCCAAGAATGTAATAAGGGTCAACGAAGAGGCAGTTTCTATAAGGAACACCAGAATGTTTCCTTCCTGCCTTCCTTACAAGGTTAGGCCAGTAATTTCTTCTGACAACCGGTTCTCCGAACTGCTTAGAATGTTAACAACCGAGTCTAGCGAATAGGTGCGAACCTGTAGAATCCCACCTCTGTGTCACATGATCTTGATTCCATCCCTCATTAAAGCAGCTGCAGCACACTGCTGGCTCATATTTAAGTGATTGTCCACTAGGACTCCAAGATCCCTCTCACAGTTACTACTATTGAGTCAGGTACCACCTATGCTATACCTGTGCATTTGGTTGTTCTGCCTAAATGTGGAACCTTACTTTTTTCACCACTGAATTTCGTTTTATTTTGTTAGATAATGCCCAATGTTCAAGCCTGTCAAAATTATTCTGTATCTTGACCTTCCTAGATCTAGCACTTTTTAACCCTTGCTGCAACCATAAGACCTAGGAAGTATGTATGTGCATGATTGTGTATCAATCAGATTATCTCTGAAAAAAGAGGCTTTAACCGAAAAACATAAAATTCTAATTAAAAGTAACACTTGACAATTTATTTTTGCCACCTACCAGCAATCTTTGACTTATGACTGGAATTTCTGTTGTAACTTATTACAGGTGTATATGTGAGATTCAATTGTATGACAATTTCTATGTTGATTTTAAGCAAATCACATAGTTTTTAAAACTAGTCTAGCTTCTTTAATGGCTTTTGTTGCCATTTTTTTTGCCAGGAAACAGCAAAAAAGTTAGCAAATTGTAATCATGTGAGCACAGGAGGCAGGCATCTGTAATAAATGCAAGATGGCTGTCAAGTGCTAAAATTCTGATCATGCAACCACAGGATTGATGCAATAGTTCTAAGTCCAAGGAAATGTCATATATCAGTTTTTCCAAGACTGTTGTAACTTTGAACCATCATTAAACAGTCATAAATCAAGGATTACCTGTATTGTGTCATTTCCAAGAATTAGTGGCACTTAATCTATGGAATGATATTTCACAGAATATGTATTTTCTAATTTTATAACTGGCTAAAATGTCTCTTATTAAATATTTATTTGAACATTATTGATTTTGCTGCTTTATTCACTTTAAGATTATTTGTATTCTATTGCATATTATTTTACAAAGATTTGAGTAATGCTGAGGCATCCTATAAGATCTCAAATGAAATCAATCTAGGATTTTTTTCCTGTAGAAATAGAAAAAGCTGTTAAGTGAAAAAGGAGATTTTTCCAACGGTTATCTATAAAACCATTTGAAAAAATTATTCCTGATCATTCATACCATCATACTGGTACAAGACAGTATTCAAACCCAAGTCAGAAGATCAGAACAGTTAATCTTAAAGCTGATTATAAACATTTTTACCCTTAGTCATACTAGAGGGAAATCCCTCCCCTTTTTTTTAACCAAATCACAGGTTTTCTTTACTAAGCTTTGCAAACTGTATTGTATCCAAACATAACAACATACTTTTGAACTTTATAATCAGACAAAAATTTAAGCTCCACTTGCTGGAGATAATAGCTCTTGTGTGTTTTCCATATTACCACACTGAAATTTCTTACAGCTTCCCCTTATTTCATTAACATTTCTTCAATATCTCTCAATTGCAAAATGTTAACGCAGGTAGCCCTCAGCTTCTGAACAGTCATTTAACAAACCTTCAAAGTTACCATGGCCTTGAAAAAGCTGCTTACAGTGCTCTTCTGGCAACTATAAAATGCCAGTCCGTCCCCCCCCCCCCCCCCGCTTTTTTGGTGCTTGGCAACCAGCTCACATTTATGATTGATTGACAAGCTCCCCATAATCGTATAATTGCCATTTGCAATCTTCTCTGCCAGATTCTCCAAAAAGCCAATACGGAAGCTGGCAAGGATGGTTATAGGCGAAAGGGAGCTGAAATCCTTTAGTGGGCTGCAAGAAGGAGCTGAAATTTTCAGGATTTCCACTCCATGCATGGAAAAGAGGGAAACCCTTTGGTAGGCTGCAGGAGCTGTTCTGGCAGCTCCACAAAGGATTTCCCTGCAACCCACCAAAGAATTACCCAACCGTACACAAAGGGTAGCAAAATCCTTTGGTGGGTTTCAGAAGCATACAGAGTGAAAGGGCTATCTGCCAGGAGGAGGTATGCTCTGTGCAAGGTTGAAATCTTTTTAGTAGGTATGGTAGCTATTTTGCTCTGTCTGCTTAAGAAGTGCTGGGACTGCATTCATTGAGCAAAGCGGTCATGTGAGTGTCTTGCTTATTTACTGCTTCATCAACAACCGGTCCCAATTGTGGTTGCAAATAAAGGACTGGCTGTATACCAACTTTTAATATATCTGTATTATTCATTTGAAAACCTTATGTTATATTATTCCTGATGGCTGAGTATTATAGCATTAGTTTTTATTCATACTGGATTACTCAAGTTGTTAAGCAAAATTTAGAACAGCATTTTCTGTTTTATTAACTTGTACACCCATTGGAACTACAACTCTCAGAATCAGCCTCATGGGTTATAATTCTGGAAGTTACAGATTCAGCAAATATAGAAGGTAGTAGCCAGGGGATAGCTAATTCATCACCAACGTCACATATTATTTGGAAATAATAACAATTCATACCTTGTGCTGTTCAATTGCATCTATCCATTGCTGCCTATGATCTGGATCCTGAGCACGTAGATACCAAACACTATCGTTTACACTAATATCAAATCTGCATTCATCAAATTCATGAGGCTGTTGGACAAAAGAAAAAGATAATTAGGGGCACTAGAATTACATTTTAAGTGGATGAACCATGATTTTTTTTAATAAAAAAAATAATTTTATTTATCAACATATTCCATTAGAACCTGTTATGACCTAACCTGGGCCTACAAAAATCTGTACAGGGGACAGGGCCATTGACAAATTAAAAATAATTGCAGGCCACAAAGAAAAACTGGCCTGCCCATCAATTGTTTGGTATAGTTCTGGGGCAGTGAGAGAGCTGCCCGTATTGATGGGCCTGGATACACTAGAGATGCTCAGCAGCATATCTTTTGGGATAATGGTGACAATATTTAGCAGCAGAATAGTTATTGAATTTTTTAAAAAATACTGAAAGCCCACATGCAACCTGTAGGCATTATGTTGTATAGACTTGATCTAACCAAAAAGTTTGAAAAAATGACTTTTTGAAATTAGGAAAGAAAAACACATGATGTAAACATAGAACAAAGATCTGTAAAATAATCTGCAAACATTAGAACTTAGATGTTGAACTAAGAAGCATACTTTTTAACTTGAAACATCAAGTTATACACAGTTTAAAAACAATACCTCCAAGACAGAAATTACAAATATAAACTGCCTTACATGTTTCAAACATTCCCAATAACTATTTCCACAAGGGCGAGATGGTCTTTGTGCATACCATACACAGAAAATTGGATGCCAGTTTCTTCTGCTTCTGAAGACTGGGGGGAGGGGGGGCAAACAGGGGGGCTTTGGAAGTTAGGTAGTCTCATGCATAGAGATATTATATATTGTAACTCCTGTATCTACCTCCTCTGAGAGCTTAAGGTGGATTACAATGGATATAGAAAATCCGCACGTCCCTGTCACAATGTCAAGTTTTTGAGATGTAAAAAAAAAAAAATCAGACCAAGATAAATCACTTCAGAATTTTTTCTGCCTTTAATATAAGATATAAGCTATACAGTGCAATTGTAAAAGAAACTAAAATATTTTAGGGGAAAAATAATAACAAGCTTACAGTAACATGCTTGCATAAATGTGCATATCCTAAGTAGAGATATGGAAATAACCGATCACGTTCAAATTAATGTTAAATAGTTGTCAGTACATACCCGCCATCATTAAAATGACTCTGATCAAGCCTATATAAAATCCAGTTGTTCTAGTAGGATTTGTCTGACATTTACACAGTTGACTCTTATAGCAAAAGCCATGGTCTGCAAAGAGCTTACAAAACATCAAAGGGATTTTATTGTTGGACTGTATCAGTCAGGATAGATACAAAAACATTTCCAAGGCATTGGATATACCATGGAACCCAGTGAAGACAGTCATCAACAGGTGGAGAAAATATGAACAACAGTGACATTACCAAGAATTGGATGTCCCTCCACAATTGATGAAAAAGCAAGAAGAAAACTGGTCTGAGAAGAGGCCTACAACAATATTAAAGGAGCTGCAGAAACTTCTGGCAAAAACAACATTGATTGTATGCTACATGTGATAACAGTGCCCTGTATTCTTCGTATGTCTGGGCTGTGGGTCAAATGGAAAAATAGAAGCCTTTTTATATAAAGAAAAATATCCACACCAAGCTACATTTTCCAAACTCTATGGAGTCTGACGAGGGCATGTGGGAAAATGTGTTGTGATCTGATGAGACCAAGATTGAACTTTTTGGCCAAATTCCAAAAACATGGCCATTTGGTGCAAAAACAACATTGCACATCATCGAAAGTACACAATACTCAAAGGAAAGCATGAAGGTGGCAGCAGTATGCTTCGGGGCTGCTTTTCTTCAGCAGGAACTACGGCTTTAGTCAAGGTGGAGGACTTATGAACAGTTTAAAATATCGGTAAATTTTGGCACAAAACCTTCAGGCCTCTGTTAAAATGTTGAAGATGAAGAGGAATTTCAACATCACAATGACCCAAAGCAAATCAACAAAAGAATGGGTTCACGATCAAAGTTTTGGAATGGCTTCAAAAGGTGCTTCAACAAAGTATTAGTTTAAGGGTGTGCACACTTATGCAACCACGTTATTGTTAAGTTTATTTTTATTTTTTCCCCTTAAAATATTTCAGTTTACTTTCAATTGAATCGTACACCTTATATGTTATATTAAAGATGATTATTTTTTTTATTTCTCTCAGCGGTTTTTTTTTACTTCTCAAAATCCTGGCATTTTAACAGGAATGTATAGACTTTTTATATCTTGTGTGTGTTTGTGCGTGTGTGCGTGTATACACATGCACACATACACATGTATACTTGTATGCTATGTATGTGTATATGTATGTATACACACACCCACACCCATTCTGATAGCACATCTAAATATCATAACCCTAATCCTAACCCTAACCCTGTAAATGCTGAGCACTAGTTTCAATTCCTGGCAGTGGGTTTGAACTCCATATAATAACTGCTGAGTCCCAATAAGGGGGTAAAACTGGAACTGTACAGAAATAGCTAAAAACGTTCTAGCCAGAAATTTATACTAGGTTCTTGATTTGTAGGTCTGTGTTGTGCTTAAATCAAAATATTTCTTATTTCTCTAAATTTGCCCTGCTTACTGATTTTGTTTTCTTGAGCCATCTCTGTGTACTTGCTTATAGCTGCCACACACACCAACCCCACTTTTCCTATAAATCTTGCTGAATCTTGGAAATTTTAAGACAAATTTCTATGCCTCATTTATTAAGACAAAGTTTCTTTGAATGATTTAAAACACTTCTTCCTGTATTTTGCTTCACCTGGGCTAGGCTGACATTTATGAGATAAGGTGTCAACTGATTCACCTATTACCAGGGGTGGGATTCAAATTTCTTAACAACCGGTTCTATGGGCATGGCCTAATTTGTGGGTGTGGCTTGGTGGTCATGTGACTGGCTGGGTGTGGCTTGTATGTAAATATTGTAAATATATATGTAAAGATTGAATTTTTTATTTTTTAAAAAGAGCAACTTTTACCCAAAATCAGGCAAAGCAGGCAGGCAGATTGAGCTGCTTGCAGAATCACAGATTCACTCAGATTCACCTTTCTGCAATCTGCTACCTGAGTCTGCACTGAAAAATAGAAGTTTCAGTCCTAAGGAAGGTTCAGCTCTGCTCTCAGGCCACTTCTCCCTTCCCCAACCCCCTGAATACCATCCTTGACTAGGCCTCAGGGAAGCCTCCTGGGTGGGGTGGGTGGGGAGGGGAGGGGCCAGCCAGTGATGTGATTTGCCAGTTCTCTGAACTGCGCAGAATCGTAACAACCAGTTCTATAGAACTGGTCCGAACTGGTAGAATCCCACCCCTGCCTATTACTAACTATGCATAGCTGATCTCTCCACTGTCTACTAATCTACATAGGCTGTCGACCATTTCCCCCACCTTCTCAAGTTAAAATTGTTATACAAAATATAGCTTTAATGAATACTTTACTGAAAAAGCTGTACATTTAGGAAATGCTATTAACTAGCTCTATACCCATGCTTCACTACAAAACTATGTGATCGGGCTTAGTTTTTGAGGAGGAAACTAAAGGGGGAAAATTGTGCCTCTGCCTACCAGCATCCATCAGTATTCATCTAGCTAGCATCCTGTCAGTGTGTGAGAGAGTTGAGGGCTGTTTGGAAACTGGAACATGGAAACTGAAACAGTATTTGCTGCGTGAACAAGGAGACAGCAAGGAGCCTGGGTGAGGCTTAGCTCAACTGTTTTGCACTAAAGCTGGTTGCTTCTGTGAAACTAAAACTGAAATTGAAAGTCCTCACCTCTGCTTGTGTTTTGCATTTGGAACAGATTTCTTTTCAGGTGTGAAGGGGGAGTAGAACTCTTTAGCATCAGAGTGTGTTAACAATAATATACGAAATACTAATGCTCTGATGGTCATTTCAAAAAATCCTTTCTTCATGAGGACCTAGAAGCCAAATACGTGCCAAATTTCAAGTGTGTAGGCTTTACGGTTCTGGAGATTTTGTGATGATGCGTAAGTGGTATTTGGCTTTTATATATAGATTAACAAATTATAATCTATTAATGATTTTAGAATTCTAGGTGCTTTGAATATTCAAAAGCAAGGAAGCAATTCTTATACTAACATTTATAGAATGTATACATCTTACAAAGGAACTAAATCTCTGCCTTTTCAGTAAAGAGAAGTAAAATTTAATATTCAATGTAATTATACAAACACTTTAAAACTTCTCTTTATAATTCTTTCATTTATCCTTCCCTCTCAGTTCACTAAAATAGCCAGAAAACAGAAGTACCGTATTTGCCGGCGTATAAGATGACTTTTTTGCCCTGAAAAACATGCCTCCAAGTGGGGGGGTCGTCTTATACGGCGAGTATATAACAAAGGTCGTCTTATACGCCGGCAAATATGTTGTTGTCACTCGGTGCAAGAGCGACGGGGGCGGAGCTCCGCAACTTGCGAAGCCCCTTCAAGCCCAGCCGGAGTCTCTCTTCCTCCTCCTCCCCCACCCACCCACTCCGCTCGTGCGAGCGGACAGGCAGGCTCCAGGCTTTGCCCCCATCCCTCACCTCCTTCCATCCCCCTCCACCCCCCCCCAGTGGCAGAAACTTCGCCGCACGTGGGGACGAGTGGAGGGGGTGGGAGAGCAGCGACGCAGCTCAAAGCTGAGAAAGCGCCATCCTTGCTTTTGTGCTTCGGGAAGAGTTCGTGTTTTTTGTTTTTTTGTTTTTCTCCCAGGAATGGGATGCTGCTCGTGCGATTTTCTTTGGGAAGTTTTCTCTTCCCGGTTTCAGCCTTTGCTCCGAATCCTCCCCCCCCCCCCGATTCACTTCTGGAAAGGATGCTTGTGTAACTCTTTTCCTAAGCGTTGCTGGGGTGGAGGGGGGGGCAGTGTGCAGCGTGAGCGAGAGGCTCTTTTCCTTTCTCCCTGAGCGCAAAACCGTCTGCCTTCTCTCTTGGACGGACCGAGCAAGGCTAATAAGATAATAATAAGATAATAAGATAAGATCCTAAGCGCGTTGTGGAAACAGA